GCTTCGCTTCTGCAGCTCTTTGGCGTCTGAACCGAGCAATCTGGATACAAGCACAAACATAACACACATGCACCACAACAACATTTCGATTGCAAATCAACAACCCAGAATGCATCCAATAACAAAAAAAATTCATGCTATTAGCAAGAATACATAACTACCTTTAAGGCTCTTCGATCAGCCAAAGAATTGGAACCTCCTTCTGCAGAAGCTTCCAACTCTTCCTGTGGTACAAGTTCCATTGCCTCACAAAATGAAATGAATTCCTAGAACATAGCACACATTCTATAAGTTCCAATTGAAAGACAAGACGAACTATCCTAACAAGTTGAAAGAGATTTAAAATAAAATAAAATAAACAGAAATCAAAAAACATTATTAAATATCATCTCTAATGCTAAACTTTCATAATGAGCTTTTAACCACACTTTGCTTCATGTTATGAACTAAAATTACTTTCAATTTTGCCTGCGAAGTCTTGAGAATCTGTATTCTGTCACCCTGCACAAGCTTTTCCGTCAGCTCTGCAAGATAAAACGGCACCTGTAATGCAAAACAACAGTTAGAACCTCCCTGTTACGGAATACTTAAATTACAGCTATGAATATTGTCTTCAAAATATTCCAAAAATGAACACTCCAAACTTATTTAAGGAAAAAAGAAGTAATTACAGAAATATTATAAATGCAATAGAAATAAAAATTTCAAACAAAACTTAATGAAGATACTAAGTACTATTTATGAAAAAAAAAGAATTAAAATGATTATGATTACCAGAAGGTACTTGAGATTGGTGGTGCTGATGTCATCTTTGGTCTCATTGGATGAGAAGAGCCCGAGCTTGCTTATCATGTCCTCGCACTTTCCCAGCACCTCGGATCCTTTCTTTACTAAATCCTGTGGACCCATGAATTCACATTTATCAGATCAGAAAGCTGTGAAGGAACATTAAAATCAAGCATGACAAGGACCATACCTGATCGGCACCGGACTCCGTGGCCGTTAGATGGATCTTACGAGCTTGTTCGAAGAGAGCCGGCAACGGCATATCCTCCATTTTGCATTCACCCATGGGTAACTCTCTCAAAACCCTAGAGTTTACACCAATTCAACTTCGAAGAAGAAGAAACCAAAATAAAAATCTTGAATTGAATCAGTAACGATGATTTCGAATATAAAGAAAATCTCAAGGATACGAATGAAAATTTTAGTTTTCCTCACAGGAAAAAACCAGAGGAGCAAGCTGAGAACGGAACTTGAACGTGAAGTAAAAGAACAAACCGCTAGGTGAAAACATTTTTATAGGAGACTATTGTGTGGATAACGTCATTGCCTAACCATGGGCATCTCCTTCCAAAATTCGCCACGTCACCTATTAAAATGGGTATGAGAAATCTAGGCCATGGGATTCCCTAGTTTTCATTTTCGAATGCTGTGTTGTAAGCATATTTTATCATGACATAAATTAATTTTAAAAGCTAAAAATCAAATTTAGATATTGCGGTGAATAAGGATTTTCTTCGTTGTTAAAATTAGTGGACAAGTTACTTATTTGATTTTAAGGTGATCGATATATTTGAAAATTAATTTAAAAAAAACTCTTTGTTATGAAAAAGTAATTGAAATATCTACTACTTTTATTAAAATCTGACAACACATATATTCTACAAAAAAAGCTAAAATTAAGATTTGTCTACATCAGTTTTATATTAATTTTCTGTTATCTTCTTACTTAACTTAGGGTTATAAAACTTTTAATTATAAATTAATTTTAATATACATTAATCACTTATTAGTAGTGTGTCCTTACTAAATTAATCTATAATTGCAATTTTAATAATCTTCAATTGAGTAAAATGATAATGAAAAAATTAATTAAAAAACAAAAATTGACATGAATAACATTAATTTTATATGTATTTAAAATAAAGGGAAATTTAATAAATAGTGATGAAAATGAAATAGTGTGTTAGAATTAGGATAAGTTACGAGTACATACACAATAATCCTTTCTCCCTTGGAATGGATCCCTTTTCCACAGGCGGTGGGAGCTTCTAGAGACTACCAGAATGGCTGGGATTCTCCGTCGTAATGCCACGTCGCTAGTTTCGCCTAATATCATCCAACCCTGCATATGTTGCTTTTTCCATTTTTTTTCCTTTTTTCCCTATCATTGCATTTCTTGTGTTTTGCACGATTACTATAATTTGACAATTTTGTTACAAAAAATTATGAATTTTGAAAAAAATAAAAATTTCAATTTAAAACTATCACATTCCACATTTAAAGAAGGAAAATCAATAGTTCTATATAAAATTATAAGAATATGTATAGTTTGATAATGTTTAAAATTAAGATTATAAATTTCAATTTTCAAATCTTAATATCTAGTAAAAGAAATAAATGATGGAAAAGAAAATTTATTTTATTTTATACTTTATGATCATATATAACAACAAGTCTATTATATTACCATACACTAAAACTCAATGGATTGCTCAAAAATTTGCAGCCGAGGACGTTGCTATTCTAATTTGATTTAAGGTTGTCAACGGAAAGATATATTTGTTATTTTTAAAATATTTTATTTTAAAATTACTATTTAATAGAGTATTTAAATCTTATATATTCTCTATTAAATTTTGATTTTTTTTACAAATTTGTACCAAAATATCCTAATTAAATAGTTGAACTCACTAAATAGCTAATAAAATAAATTTTAAATCAATTTTGATGTATATTATTAAGGAAAATCAAATTAATTAATTAAAATTAGTTCATAAAAATAAATTAAATGTGCAAAAAAAATTCAATTTAAAAATTATATTTACAACAGCTAATGAATTTTAGTAAGTATTAAATTAATTTAAAAAATTATAATAAAAAAAGATATATAAAATTAAAATTAATATTTATAATTAAATCCGAACAGTGGATGTGTTAAGCCTGCCACTTAAACACGTATCGAATTTAATCCGAGTCTTGATCTCTCAATCAGATAAAATAATACAAAGTAATCAAATAATACAAGATAATCAATTATAAAATACTCATTATTGTCCCTAATTGGATTATGTCGTTGAAATGGATTGATCCAGTGCGGATTGGAAAACAAGGGAACAACAAATTAAGATATCGGAGCTGGGGTTAAACCCAAAGTCATAAGAAATGGACCCTACAATCATGTGCAGAGCTGGCCCATAACAGTGATTTCGTGGCCGATTGCTCACCGTGGGTGCGATTGGGCCCTTTATATTCTCCACTGCCGTTTTCTTGTGTTCAGACTTGGACACGCTTTATTGTGCAAAACCCCACTTGGAAACTTTTAAGGGCAGAAGGATGGCATCTCTTATTTCTCTTCCTTGAACAGCAGACCGTCAAGTCTCCATTTATTTCCATTTTAAAGTCCCGTTTTTCCACTCCTCCGTATCAGACAGCTGCTGCTGCTACTATATTTAATTCCATCCCCATTTCAACCATTTTGGTACCGTAAGAACATGATACGTTTTGGTGGGATTGGGAAGTTGATTGACTTTTTTGTTACCATCCAGATCAAGTGTGAAGAACAAAACAATAGCAACAGTTCTTTTAAAGAATTTTCACTATGATTATTGAACAAGAATTTTGGGATCAATTATTGAATACGTGACAATATTAGTACACGTCATTTCAGACCGGAGGGATCCACATCGAGCTTGATCATTAATACCAAATCCACGGTGGGATCCCGGTGCTGTGCTCTTAGCTGCCCCACTTAACTCAAACTCCTTAGTATATTCTTTCAATTTTATTCTTCTTTATTGGTTGCTTTGTGCATAATCAAAAGAATTCAGTACTTGGTTACTCCAAATTCCAAGAGCAGATCTTGGCTTGGGTTATTATAATTAGAATTATGGGATGGTCATTTTGCCTTGTTTACTTTTCACAAAAACAGGTTAAATACAAAGGGATTTGCTTATGCTTTCCTCAACAAGTTCCTGCTTTACAGGTCTCTCAACCAAGGCCGCAGATAGGAGGAGCCTAACAGCCCTGGACCCATGAAGAACTGGCTTCTTAGGTGGCTTCATTATGACGTTTATGAATTTGACAGCGACATTCTTGATTGCTCGCGCTCTTTGTTTACACAAAATGCTCCTCACCACCAGTTTTTTGCCTACTAGCCATTAGGAGCTGTCAACAGGTATTAAATTCTATCTAAATTGGACGAGGGGGTATCTCTCATGAGGAAAATATTCTTGGGTTCTTAAGGAACCAATTGAATCGTTTAAAAAATTGGGTTTTCTTTACTTTGGGCAGTAATTTCATGAGCATTGACTGTCAGATGTAATGTTCAAGATTTCTGTTTTCTTTAACAGTTGTAGCAGGTGTAAATTATGGTAATATATATGACTTGATAACGTGGTCCAGGCAAAATTCTCACTTGGTTTATAGTATTTTATATTTTTTTTATATAATCCAATATATTGACTGATTTATTATAGGTTGGTAACAGTTGTGTTCCAAAGTCGCACAATATCTTTTTCATATGGTTTTAAATTATTGATAATGAAGACAAAACACCACACATTTTCAAGCATTCTATTTTCTAGGCTAAGGACACCCTCTCTATCACTCTATGATAGCCCGAAAAGTGCTGTCAGAACTATTTTTGTAGCCTTTGCCAGCAATATGCCCTTTTTTGAGAACTATAGAAACAAAGTAAACTTTTGGGCAGTGTTTTTTTGAGATAAATTATTCTATGCATAACAGTTTCAAACAATAATTTTATATACTTTTTAAAGTGAAAGACACTCTGGAAACAATAATATATTTCCAGGATTGGTATAGTATATTTTCTTCAACTCTTTTTCCTCGTTACTTGTTTTTTAGTAATGGTGACAAACCACCAGGAATCTAGTGTTCTTGCTTCCCATTTCGGTCATGACTCATTATCGGAGCTGAAGAAGGAATAGATGAAAAAAGCTGATGGGAAACGCAAGTGTGGCTGTCAGGTGTGGGTCTTTCACTGAAAACCAGGGAGCAAGCCTTTCTTCCGTTCTGTAAAATGCTTTGTCCTTTTTAACTGATTCTGGCAGAGTTTAGACACGTGTAAAAACTCATGCTTTTGGTATTCCCTGATCATTTATAATGGATAACTTCCAAATCAAACCGGTACTTGAAATTTTCTGAAGTTGGGTTTTGCTAGCCCCTAGAAAATATCTTTATGGAAAACCAACGTTGGTCTCTCTAGGCTAACAGAAGTTTTCCCATAAGAGTTGTGGCCTCTGGTTTGAGTTGGAGGAGGCCTTTCAACCTTTTTGTTCTTGTAAGTTTTACATTATTTTGTCATGGATTGTACAGTTGAGAAGGTTTTTGTGAGCTAACTATGTAGGGTACTGTTGTTCCTCCATTATTGTAATGCTTTTCGTATTCAATTATTTGTACTAGATTACCGTGAATATATGTTTCTCTTTTAGTTCTAAATAATTTGTCTAAATGTATAGAAGTGGTTTCCTTTCATAGGTATGAATTCTGTGCTGCTGAAACAGAGAATGCCTGGAATTTCAGTTTCCTTTCTTGTATTAATTCTTTCTTTCTGTTCCTTGATTTCACCTCTCAATTTGATTTCTAACTTTCTTTTTCTACCTACCATTCCCAAAGGTGAAGAAGCAAGTTCCTAAGCAATGGATGAGAAGGGAATCTCTGGGTCATATCTAATTATCTCGGAAGAGAAAAGTGACAGCTTGTATCCAATGTATTTTGGTGTTTCTTGTGCTTTTTTTGCTCTCAGACTCCTCACGGGACCTGAAAAGGAAGATGAGAAATGGTCTGAATTACGAGATAAAATGCTTCAAGGAAGTGCTCAACTCTTGGGATTGCTAGTATGGAGAATCCAGAGAGAAGAAGCCAATCTAGCAAAGTGTGAACTTCACCAGAAGCTTGAGACCGCTGAGAAAGAGGTTGAGGAGTTAAAGAAAAGGAGACATGAAGATGCAAAAGCAAATGAGAAGGTTGTTGGCATCTTTGCATCTCAAGAGCAGGGATGGTTAATTGAAAGAAAGAAACTTCGGCTGCAGATTGGAGCCCTGATAAATGAATTGAGAGTCCTCGAGAAAAAGAAAAATGAAGAAATTGCTGACTTGAGTGAAAAATTCAATGAAATGGAGCTCTTGGTGGAGTCTAAGGATAAGGTAATTGAAGAAATGGAGCAGAAGGGGAAGGAATTAGAAGAAAAGGTAATGAAGTTTGAAAGTGTTGCTGAAGAATTGAGAGAAACTGCAAAGCGTGAAGCTCAGGAGCACTCTACTGAGCTTTGGAAGCACAAAACCGCCTTCATTGAGATTGTGTCTAATCAACGGCAACTTGAAGCAGAGATGGGGCGAGCCTTTAGGCAAGTTGAAGCTACAAAGCGGGAGCTTGATTCGGTCCTAGAGCAAAAAGAGGAGTCAGTATTATTGGCACAAAAATTGTCCATAGAAATTACAAAAATAAGCAAGGATTTGGAGCAGAAAGACAAGATTTTGTCTGCAATGCTAAGGAAATCGAAGTTGGATACGGCAGAGAAGCAAATGCTTTTAAAGGAAGTTAAAGTATCAAAGGCAAAGAAGAAGCAAGCTGAATTAGAGACAGAAAGGTGGAAGGCAGTCTCTGAGTCCAGACATGAGAGACATTCATTGAAGGGTATGTTTGCTAAACAGGCCGGTGCAAAATTGGATGTTTCCTCTGGTGTCAAAGAGGTGTCAAATTCTGGCAAAACCAGATCACAGCCGATTGATCTTGTTTTCGAATATGACTATTCAGATTTGAAAACAGACCCAGAAGTCTTTTCTCCTCTTCCTGATTGTCACTCTCCAGAAGCGAATGAGGAATTGGGTGAGAACAATTTCTCTGTTATTCTCTTCCTTCACCATAAAAACGTTTTCTTGATGGTTAGCATTGTGTGTGAATAGTTATAGTTTATGTCTTCCATCTATTCTGTAGA